TACGCTTTCACAACGAGTATGGTTTTCAGTAGAGCTGTGCTCTCGTCAATTCTTTAAGTAATATATTACTGATGGATATCAGTTCGATTACTCATTTTACCTGTGTGCTGCTGGACGGGAGACGATGGGATGGGGCTTGGCGAAGTTATTGACGTACAGCTGAGTCGCGCAGGGTGTGGTCTGTGGGGGTGGACATTATTCTTAAGGAGCGTCGAGAAAGGCAACACAAAATAATTAGTCGGTTCCAATTATTTGCCAACTCAATGGGCTAATTGTTCCACATGTAGTTTTAAGGGTATTGTTTGCCTGCGGAAGATGCTGCTCTTATTTTAAAACAACTTTCCAGTTGCAGGTCGTTGTCAAGCCCACAGCAGACAACAACAATGTGCAATTTGCTAAGGACAGTATAAGTAACCACAAAGCAATTTTAGCAACATCTTGTGGTGTTCCTACATTTTTATATTCTGAATTTGAATATACCCACTACAGTGCCAACACTTTCAAAGAAGTGCTTTCTTGGTAATGGCTGATGAAATACTGGTTGCTTGTGCTTTCAGTGCCCTGATCACCTGCAGGCGATCAGGACTGCTAAAGGTGTGGAAAGAAGACGAATCTGAGAATGTAAGTTGGAAGGCGTTTTTATAAAACAACACGTTTATTATTGAGCTTGCATTATTGTATGGTTACATATACATTAGCCTATCTAAAGCACGTGTGCTTAAGTGAGCTCTCGTAATTAAGTTGTGTGTGCGGTTGCGAGCAGGTAGAGGTGAACGTTGGTGCGGAAGTGTGGCGCATGCGTGCGAGGGCAGACAAGCGGCACGTGGTGGCCACGGGAGGCAGGGAGAACGACCTGAAGATCTGGGACCTCCAGCGGCCCGAGGAGCCCATCTTCCGGGCCAAGAACGTACGAACACGCTGCCTCCTGTGCATGTCTGCACGTTTCACAGCGCTCGTAATAACCATGTCGAATTTACAGGTTTATCCCCAGTTTCCGCTGCTGGATGAGGATTTTCCCAAGCCGCGGCCATTCCTTCATTTTTTGCGATGCTAAAACTTGTCTCCTGCACATACAGCAACCAACCATTATCAGTCCACTGCCGAATAAAGGTCTCAGAATTGGAATATTTCGACTGGAGGAATCCAATTAGCTATGAATCTCCCTTTCACAGATGTCCTGTTAGGGCGGGTCAGCAATTTACCACGACATAATACAAACAACGATAGGAGTGCAAAATATGAAAAGATTCGACCCCGGCCACCACTATCTCTCATTCCTGCTCTGTAACCATGAACTAGCACCTGCACCCGAGCTGATTTCATCACTCCCTCTCGGTAGATGTACTCTCGGGCGTGTTCCTTCCTTTGTCTGCCACTCTCATTATTCTTGATCACCAGCAATCCTCTTTTATTCCGATATGTCCAGCCCAAGGTTACTTAGGACACAATATGTTGCCTCCTTAAGTAAACAAGTTATTTGTTCAACTTTCCTCTTGTTGCTCAGTGCAATTTCAAATATGTGCCTCTCTTTCCTGCTTTGTACAATTTTATAATTTAGTTTGTCAATGTCTGTAATATACTGGTCATATGGTGGGCAAATTGAGCAATGACAAAGTAATTCACCATAATGTTTAAGTCGGACTTGTCAATATGGTTTGTTATTGCTGGTACTCTCTGCGTGTGTTATGACTGCAGGTAAGAAATGATTGGTTGGACCTGCGGGTGGCTGTATGGATCCGGGACCTGCAGTTCATGCCTGGCACAGAAAAACTGGTGACCTGCACTGCGCACCATCAGGTGGGCCTGCCTCTCTCATCCCTCATACTGCACATTTCCATCTAATTGTCAGTTTAACACGTAGGCTTTCGCGACCAATATTATTCATAATCAACGTTTTTGGGTTTAGATCGTCTTATTTATAAATGTGTCGTAACCTTGAAGCTTTCGCGACTGCAAGGATTCATACTCTTAGTTCTTTCGAAAGAACTAAGAGTGTGTCGTATGTGTCGTAACCCTCCACCCGATACGACCAATCAGTAAAAAAGTGTCACGTTGACAAAAAACAAATAGTTCACTGCTTTAGCCCACCGGTGTGTTAAAGCGTGAAACCACAACAACAACAAAATTGTAAATGTTGTGGTTTCACGCTTCAACACACCGGTGGGCTAAAAGCAGTGAACTATTTGTCTTTTGTCAACGTGACACTTTTTTACTGATTGGCCGTGTCGGGTGGTGGAGGGTTACGACACATTAATAAATAACGCGATCTAAACCCAAAAACGATGATTATGAACCATCTAATTGTCATTGTTAAGCTGCTGAAGTCTTTACGATGAGCTACTCATATAATACACAACACCACTTCTCCGCAGTGATTTGGGGGATGAATAACATCGATCCTGTTTTCCACTAATTTACTCCACTTCTTTGCGGGAACAAATCCCATATAATCATGTATAATAGGTAGAATATGGCTGTGGGATAGGGCTATTTCCGGACCCTACAGCTTCTATGGCTAATAGTAGTCGCAGATAAGAATTCGGTATTGTCATGTAAACGTTTATTGATGTCCTATACCAAAACTTCTAGCGCATTTTTCTGCTATCCTGTGCATGTGTGCTGCATGTATCTGGGCGGACAGGTGCGCATCTACGACCCCAGTTGTCCTCAAAGGAGACCCGTCTTTGAGACAACCTTCGATGAGTACCCACTGACAGCAGTCTCAATCATGTCCAGTCAAAAGTATGTACATCAATGAAACTACTAACCGCATGAAGCTAATTTTATTTTAATGTGTCAAAATTGAAAAAAGTGCCGTCAGATTACATGATAATGGCACTGGCAACGTGTATCACTGGCTGTGCTGCTTCGACTGATGTTTCTGTGGAAAGAATATGCTTATCAGAGTTTTTGGTTGAATGGATTTTTAGATTTACACTGTCAATTGTGTGCGATCAAAAGCCTGTTAAACATCTGAAAATGGTGCTTTGACAGTGATTTCAATTCAAGTCATCTCTTAATATTTTTGTTATTTAGTTTGTGTTTTGTACAATAGCTTTTGCCTCAATACACGTACAAAGAAAACATGTTTCTACATAACGCACTCATCGCTTGTTGTGTGAACCCTTTTTTGGTCGTCTTTGCAGCCAAGTCGTGGTCGGTAACACACATGGAGACATGGCCATCATTGACCTGCGCAAGAGTAAAGGTAATTGAAAGCAAAACCCAATGGATGCACAACCATGCTGCAAGCCAACTTGCAAACATATGAGATTCAATTACAGTGAGGCACCTCTTAATCCACCCTTGTATCTCTTATCTTCTTATAATCCGCTCTACCAAATCAATCTAAGGAATATCCTCTTATCCACACACAGATTATTCCTATTACCCATATTATATCTTCAGATAAGAAGCCACTGTTATTGATTTCACAGAAGCGCAAAATTTATATGTGCATTTACCCATGAAAGTCCACACGGATAACAGGAGTCATTTCCGTAATAAATGTAGCTACCAGGATCTCTGCCCCCCACAATCACCATAAGTTCAGTTTAACTGTAGCCCGTTTTTTACGTATAAACACCTTGACATTTTTTTCCGTATTGGCTTCTTTAGCTAGTAGATATTTATATCTATAGACTTTAAAACTGTGAATAGATTTTCAACACCAATTCAGGAACTGAGGAGTCATAATCACAGCACGGACGTCCCCTACTAAAGGTGTGTGGGTGGGTGGTTGTGCCTGCGTTCATGTGTAGGACCCGTATCAGGTGCCCTGAAGGGCCAGGCGGGCAGTGTGACCTGCATTCAGTGCCACCCCTCTCTCCCGCTCGTCGCGTCCTGCGGGTTGGACCGATACCTGCGGATTCACGACCTGGACACACGGAAGATACACCAAAAGGCAAGCTCTTGCACATTGCTGTACATATGGGCGCTCTTGTGTGGCAAGCAATGTACCAAGTGAATTAAGTATCCGCCCAGTCTTGCTGACAATTAACATGCGTTTATATTTTTCAGGTGTACCTAAAGTCAAGACTGAACTGTCTTCTTTTCACAAGCAAAGATAATTTGGAGGTGAGGGGAAGGTTCACCTTGTGTTGCCGTTACAGGATCGTATGGAATGACTGTTCAAATTGAGAAATGTAGGTTACAATAATGTCAAAGGATTTTATGAAATATGTCAAGGTCAGTGTAAATTTCAAGTTAGAGATTTTGGATATGACCTGCTGTGCGCAGAATATTATTTGAAGGGCACTGATCTTTTCTTTCATGCCTCACCATTGCCCCTCCCCCATACAGCAGGAGGCCGAGGAAGAGCAGACGGCCTTGCCCAAAGAAGACGTTACAAATGAAGATGATCTGTGGGCCACCATGGAAGAGATTGTGGAATGCAAGGGTTCCAAGAAGACAAACACCAAGAGCACAACCGTTTTAACCAAGAAACACAAACTGTCCGTCAAAAAAGCCATGCCCACTGTGAGCAAGAAGCACAGGGCAGGAAACTAAAAACCGGTGATCGTGTAACGCCTCCTCTCACTTAATGCGGAAAATATTTTCTCATTTTTTATTATTCATCTGCTCCAACCAAGATAAATGTCCACCACACATTACTGACCGTCATGTTATGTTTCACATGTGCATAGTTAAAATATATATAAATGCAGTTTGGTTTCATCGTCACTTTGTATGACGATTCTGTAATCGGCAGAAAGGTACATCACCACCGGCAGAAGATTGAGCCTCATTGCTGGTGGCACACATCAGTGTCGGCAGTGTCCGTGTCTGGCCTTTGATGTATTCAAGGGAACCGGGGCCCACTTATAACTTCTGCAGACCGATAATAAGCTTTGAGTATACATTTGCGATATAATCACAGCAGTCTTTGTGAATGATTTAATCCTTGAGTCTAATAAGATTACGTGAATTCTGCTTAAGGCAGATTACAGCTGGCAATGCGTGACACCACGAAGTCAAGAGGTTAACAGAACAGACGACAAGGCTCATTCCCCGGCTGCTGTGCAGCCGAGCAGGCGTGCTGTACTCTTCCGTTTGTCATCGTCTTGAGGAGCGATGAGTGAGCGCTCGTCCTCGGGCTGGAGGGCCGTCGTAGAGAATGCGTGGTAGGTGGCGGCAAGGCAGGCGAGGCTGGCAACAATCCATGCGGCCACCAGTGTGCGGTAGCCTGCCACGTATTCTCGGCCGGGCTCCGAACCTAGGCAATGCAAATTACTGTAATTTGATTTTTTTTTGGCCCCTCATCGGTGAAGAGAAAAACCCGAAACGCGCGCAGCATTCGCTCACGCTCCAAGACAGAATGACTTGGGCGCAAGGAACCACAGAAGTGAGGGCTGCCAGGTGGTGAGCCAGGCCCAACATTCGCACTCGGTATGCACTTCGACTGCGTGTGCATCCCACACACAGGTTGCACAGAGTAAAGTAGTCATAGATTGATACCATTGGTGGGGAATCTGACCGCCGACCAAATATAGCTGATGACTTCATATCATACGGTCCATGGCCACATGGGCCCAAATACATGCAACCCTGCAGGAAGTGAACAAAGTGTCGGTATTTAAACTACCTCTGCACTCCCCCCCCCCCAAAGGTATCTGAAATCAAGTCCAATTCATCCCTTGTTCATGAAAAGGTTCCCCACTCTAGAGTTTTAAGAAAGGTGAACAGCAATGCTTTGATTAAGCGTTGACATCCTCCAATTATTCTGTAAACTAATAACTAAAGTGGTACCAAGGTTGCCAATGAATGTCTTTTGCTCAGATTTACAACATTTTCACTGCAATTGGGGCCAGGATAACGAGCCAATTTAAAGAGTACCATACGGTAGAACTGTGCTCTTTACCTGTTCTGTCCACACCTGTACCCCCCCCCGCCCCCAATTTCATGGGCCGTACATGGCCCATGTTATCAGACGAGCAAAGTGCCACGTTTTGTGTTCAGACCGTACCCACGACCAGGTCTCCAAAGCCGATGGTGCTGAGTGTGATGAAGGCGTAGTAGAGGCTCTTGGCAGGGCTCCATCCCTCCGTGACGGGCAGCACGGCCACGGGCAGAAGCAAGCAGAGCAGCGTTGCACCCAGCACGCAGCCACCCAGCACCAACGGCCCTGCACGCCGCTACCAGAATCAGAATATTTATTCCGGAGGAGTGAGTGAAAAGGCTCTTTTTTTTTCCACATGTCCAGTAGAGTCGGGTCAAAGTTACAACGAATAAAACACGAAAGGAGTGCAAAGTATAGGAAAGATAAACAAATCGCTTACAAAATACACAACTAAAACTATGCTATTTTTCTACATACCACGTAAAGCCCACTGGACTATTAGCTTTTCCGGAAGCAACCTGGCTACAACTGATAGCTCAACGAAGTAGCTTGTGGGGGGGGAAATACCTCGCGTACACCTTTTTGTCAAACCATTTCTGGAAAAGTGCCTCCACGTGCCATGCCGTGTTGGCTATTTGAATATACTTTACACTGGTCAGTGCGGGTGGTTGAATGGGGGGTGTAGATGTTGGGAGCATGGTATGAGACAACAATGGATTGGCTGTATTGCTCTGCTGATGTAGCCCTGCAGCTGCATAAAATACATTTTACTTCAGTTACACGAGCACAAATAGTGCAGCACGGTGAGGTTGTGGATGATGAATACCGTGGAGCGAGGTGTAAGGCGAGTAGCCTTGCGCTCAGGGTTAATGAGCAGTGTCTACCCAGTACACATCTGGCAGCAGCTGCATTATCATCATCTGTTGAGGTTAAGTTACTGGGGGCGTTCAAGTATTCTTGCCACAACAAGCTGCTCCAGTTGCCAGGTGGTGGTGGTGAAATCCTCAAGTGCATGCCATGGTGTGCATATAGCTTGGGGCAAGGCTGTAATTATAATATATATTGGGGGGGACATCCCCCCCCCCCCCCATAATCAAATATGCTCAAAATGTCCCCCCAATATATTGCTATAAAACATTTTTAAAAAATTATATTTGCGATGCTATGTAAATAAAAATGTGCTAATCCTTGGCCACAATATCTGGACTTGTCATCAAAAACGATTCATAAATTTCTGTTTAGATGATTGTGGTTATGGTTGTACTTTATGAATCCCTAATCTCTGCCATTACATACAATGAAACAAGAAAAGGTGAAAAAACAGCAATGTAATACAATACACTATTAGACATTTTTAGTGATTTTTTTTATTTTAAGCAGGAAATGGCAGGAAATGAGTTTTCAGATTTTTTTTTTCTCTGGGGGGGGGGGGGGGGGGGGGCTAGACCCTCTGGAAGATTTGGTCCCCCCCAATGTTGACTATGGCTACGGCGTTGGAGTGGGATGCCACCTCTAAGGTACAAAACACCTCTGGGTCATATCAATGGAAGCAATCTCGATACTGCGCCATGATGGGAAGATATTAACTCCCTCGCCTTGTATGAAGGAGGTCGTGGGTTTGATCCCGACCATGTCGCCTGTATACATGTGCTTCCCTTGGAATTTTTTCCGGGTCCTCCGGTTTTTACTTCCATATTTGTAAACACGCGTTTAGAGTATTTTTGGCTGCTATAAATATCCACATGATAAGCCACTTCGTTGTGTTATTATTTGTGGCCAGGTCGCTTCTGAAAAAGAGCTGTATAGCTCAGTGGGCCTTACCTGGTAAAATCAAATACATTCTTTAGTTTTACAGAAAGGGGAGTACTACATATTGTCTTGAGTTATGCATTTTATTTTATTACGGAACTGACAAAAACTTGACACTTTTCAATAACACTCCTAGAACGAAATATATAACAGGTGACATTTTGGACAGCGGTCATTATTCAACATGTCAAACGGCCCTTCAATTAAGAAGGTCCATTGGTAAAAACATCGCCTAAAAGATATATTTTAGGGTCGTGTTATTGACACGTGCGTTTTTGTAATTTGTTGTACACCGCTGCCAATGCTGTATCACAAGAGCTTTTACAACAACAACAAACGTGACACTTGCAATGCACCATGAATACCATTTGATTTCCCAAAATGAGGACGATTCTTGAGAAAATCAGTCGGTGGTGGTGGTTAAGCGCGCGCGGTCCACGTCACCGACAAGCCCACCCACGGATCACCTGGCGGACGCCTCTCAGTCGCAGCCAGCGGTGGGCGACGCGTGCCGGTGCGGCGAGGATCGGGGCGCCTCGGGTCAGCAGGCGCAGGTTGAGCGGCATGCCGAGCAGCGCGTAGAACGCGCACGCGGCGCGGCCCCACGGGGAGCCCGGCGCGGTGCTCCCGTAGCCTGCACGGGGTGGGGCAGCCTCGAGATTGTGAGCGCGGTGGGTCCCGTTGGGAACCAATTATGGAACGTGCAAGCCCAGCTGTCGTTTGTGCCCGAGCTAAGTTGAGTTTTGGATTTATTGGGGGGGGGGCGGGGGGGGGGGGTTCCCGGTATTGTACAGTAGTTTTTGGCCCCAATATTTAGATTTTATATTCATGTTTTCAGATTAAAATTGACAAACAATAGCACTGTTTTGTATGCACTCTATTAATCATGTAATTCGAGAATGATTCAGGTCTGAGATTTTATGTTTTCGGCCCGATTTCTGGATTTGTTTTATTAATCCCCAAATTGGGAACATCTTGACTTTATATGCAAGTTGTTGCTTCGGTAACAGTATAACTTGTCAATTGATGTGCATCCTCATACATTAGTCAAGGTCTCAGATTTAGCCACGGGTATCCTTGTGGTAGTGGGTTTCGCTGATGGCGAAACTACCCTAGGTGCCAGGTTAATCCATATTCTGCGTTGAGCCGAATTGGTCAACAGTTTTGGCATGTCACGTGGGTCAATTAATGGGAACTCTGCTTTGAAGCTTTCGTGACTGCAGGGATTCATCTTCTTGGTTCTTTCGGTAAAGTCACGTAAAAGGGAAATAATAAAATAATATAAATAAAACAAAATAATTCTCACGACGTTTCGGCCACAACGCAAGCAGCCATCCTCAGTCTTTCCGACAGACCTGTTCTTCACCTGAGGACGGCTGCTTGCGTTGTGGCCGAAACGTGACTTTACCGAAAGAACCAAGAAGAAGGGGAACTCTGCTGTTTCGTCCGGCAAAATCCGTTCGCCCACCTCGCCATTCTCGCCACGGTGACGGCCGTACCGATGGTGGTGACCACAGTGACGGTAAAGAGCAGTGCGCTGCTGAAGTCCCAGTTGGAGGGGCTGCTCGCTCGCCCGGCTGCGACCCGCACGCCATGGGACCTCGCATCCAGCACCTCCTGAGCGAGCGATATCATCCATCGCGTGGTGCGCGAGTCTGCTAACTGAATCGCCGAGCTGATTCAATGTGCATCCGAAACCAATTGGGCATGCTAATCAGGGCTGGGATTAATGCACGAGATCAAACTCTTAATATTGTTCAGGCAAAACATTTACCGAGCGCAATGTCTGCTATTTCATAGCATCGACCACTGGCATTTATTCCAAAACTTATCTTTAGTTCTCAGAAATGCCCTCAATCCTAGAGGTAGCAATTACGCCTTTTAGTCGTGGAATTGGTGCCACATTTAATGACGCAGTGAGCAATGATGCAAAACTAAAATCTGTGTGTGGAGCTGCCCGTGTGTAACGAAGTGCTTACAGACAAAGTACCTGCAAGAAGAGGTCTAGTGTCCCATCATCCACGCATGAGTGGTTCTGAATAAAGGTTGCCCAGGAGTCCATCAGCCGTTGCCGGATGTTCTGCTCTGCAGGCAACTCCAGCACCTGGAACACAGCTGCCCCTGCCAGAAGGTAGGCCACGTACGCAGTGGCGAGCAGGGGCAGTGTGTCAACCCTCCACGGACCAGCCATCGCACGCTCCATCAGCCGCCCGCGAGAGAAAGCATGCGCAACACCACATGCATAGCCACCCACACCCACTGGCTTCGGAGCTGCAAGCTATGCTTTTAAGTAGTATTTTACAGAGTTTTCTAAAAGAGAATAGTTCGAGTGGAATTGGTTGGAAAGCATCCTTATCTAAACCATTTGTGACGAAGCGCACGCTTGCCTTGTGGGACCGACGGTGAGGGGGGACCCCTTTGTCTTGTGACCACTTGGCGGTTGTCATGTGGGTTGTGCGTGTGTCAAAACAACAAAAAACACCAGAAGCCTTTGTGTGGTCCGTCATGCTGTATTGAAAACATTTCCATCTGTAATGCAAGTCACATGGCACAAAAATGTGGGCCATTGGGCTTCAGCTGCTAATGCAGTTGTGCCATGCCCCTGAATAATGGTTGCAGAACACAGAATTTCATTGTGGAACTAGGAGGGAAGAAAACAAATCTGTCCAGATTGTGTTTTGCCCTTCAGGGATATTTTTTTTTATAATGTATGTCCTGTTATAACATTACACAGTTCTTATAACACTATACAGTAACAAAAATACACAGCACAAGTATGACCTAGACTTTTGTTTTAGACATACATTTACCGACTCGACCAGTTTACAGCTTTTGTTCTCACTTAAAGGCATCGTATCTTACAACTATTCAAGGACCTAACGAGTCATGTGTGTGATATGAAAAAGAACACTTTAGTAATATTGTAGGTGATCACAATACATACATTTGGAATGATAATACATTACTGACTTTTAAACCATGTATTTTTTTACGTCATAAATATGTCCATACAGTATAAATGTGGTTGCCAACTATAAATGATGGCTGGATGTGTGGACGTCTCGTGGATAAGTGCTGTGCCGAGCTGGTCTGGGTTCGTGATGGTGAGCCCACTTGAATCTGGGGCATTTTCGTCACCTGTGTTCTTGAGCTGCAAAACAAACAATACAATTTGGTAGATGCTGATAAATATTTTTTTCACTTTAAAATAATGTTCATATATAGCCGACCCTGTGTCAATCCACTCCCCTCGCTATTTGATTTATTTGACCATACTTCAATACACTGGTCAGTGTGGGTAGGGTGAAGTTGGTTCGGGTAGATGCATGAGCAAAGAAGTACAGCTCAACGTTTGATTTTGTTTCATTGTGCTCTGCCACCCACAAAATAGCCTTACAGCAGCCGATAACACCTGTTTCACGCATGGTGGTCAACGTTGTTTAGCGTCCGAGATCTGACCAGATCGGGAATATTCCGAGAAATTTGGTCTGAGGCGACAACACAAATACTTGTTACATTGGCTTGCCAAAACGGTTCAATCCAAAAATAGATTACTTGTGAGTCGACAAAGCCATGGCACATGCTCACCTTTTCCATGCGTGAGCTGTCGGCGTGCCTGCACGAATGCCAGGATGTCTGCGTCGATCTTGCTGTCACCCGTCAGTGGGATGGTGGATCCCGGGGCCTCAATTGACCTGCATGGTGCATCGGACACTCGTCACCACAACTATGGCATAACTCGTGTAATTGCACGTCATATGACGGGCTCATAAACATTAAATTTAATGACCAAAAAACTATTTAAGATTGTATTGAATGTATTTAATCGAAAATATTTATGTAAATCACTTTTATCGTAAGAGCTGTTTGAGTTACATTTTTATCAGGAAGAAAGTAAACGAAATGTTTCAATCAAAATTTGTTTTCAAAACTTAAATTTTTCCTCACCTGTGAGAGTGAAAAAAAATATAAAAACACTTAGTTCTCGAGTTTTGCTTGTTGCAAATGTGCAGTTGTAGGAATTATTATAAATGTATAAGTATCGACTTACTGGATACTGTAATGATTTTGATTTGAAGCTTTCGAGACTGCAGGAATCCATACTCTTTGGATCTTTCGGTAAAGTCAAGTAGGTAGAAAAAATGATGGATCACGACGTTTCGATCGCAACAACAAGCGATTGTTTTTGTTGCGATTGAAACGTCGTGATCTAAGCGATTGTTGTTGTGATTGAAACGTCGTGATCTATCATTTTTTCTACCTACGTGACTTTACCGAAAGAACCAATGAGTACTGTATTGATGTTAATACAAAAAACATAACTAAACCGGCAGGACAGGTCGGTGTTCACTAATTTTCACTATAAGTGCAAGCAAAAGTTATCGAAGTGAAACTGCACTCGGTTCAAATTAAAATCAATTCTGCTTCTTGATAAAAATTTCCATTCGATGTACGAAAATAAAAATAAAACTATTGTCACACAAATTAACTGAATAGATAAATTATTCTGTAATGGTGTGCAAAACAAAAAGATAAAATACAAAAATAGGGGCACACTTGGCTTTTATCAAAAGCGGCACTGGTATTTTTTGGAAGATAATTTATTATTTTGTAACAAACTAATAATTAGTGACAATTTTAACAAGCCTTTCATTAAAAACTAATATTTTTTTACTTGAATGTAAATCCACGTAGCCTACCCAGCGTTACACACAGCGTACTATATGTATAATATATTGTTTCCGAAGCATTTTCTGAACCTTTCAGTTGATTAACCCCATACCAAAACTAATTTCACAAGAGGTCCTGCTGTCACCTAGCAAGAGAGGAGTGCTGAGATGCACTTGGTGCTATGGACAATGTGGAGCTTGCAGAGCTGAACCTGCTACTTGCACTGCTTCTGTAAAACACCCAATACACAGACACAATCATTGCATTTGTTAACAATCAAATTCATTATTCGCAACAGCCACCAGTAACTGTTGTGAATAAGTATCCCGGCCCAGAAAAATAAACCCAGTGTTTTTTTTCTGAAATGTTCACAATACTAGAATAGCTATCCAACACACAGGTTTGCATCACATATGGTTACACTTTTGAATGTGGCTTTTATAGTGCTGGGTACCTGTTGGCAGATTGGTTGTATGGGTCGCCTCCACTGCCACTCGGAATGGCTGCTCTCCTCGCCTGGTTCCCCTGGCTTGACACAGCCTAAAACGCAGAATAACACCACAGACATACTCTGAGACGTGCCACTTTAAGTTACGGTATGGTAAGCGTCATGTGGCACGTTTGTGTTAACCAACACTATGCAGGCAAATATTGGTGGATCGCATAAACATGTGGGACTTCTAAAACCAATAGGCTGCAAGGCACTCAAGAAATATGTGGGTTTTTTCTGGGCACTTCTTCAAAAAGACATTGGCCAAATATCCAAATGTGGGACAGTTCTGAAAAAGTCTTGACACACAGGCTTTATTGAATAAATAAGTAATATTAGACTATTACACGACTACATTAACTATGTTTTCTTACAAGATTACCAACATTCTGCATAATGAGATCATATTTTACCTTTAAGCAACATTTATACTTAGTGGCATTTTTTTATGAGTGAATGCATAAGTAAATCTACCTATGCGTATGTACACTATAATTAAAAGAAGAAAAGCTTGCCAATATCTGTGCCAAGATTGTGATTAATTAGTATATTTTGAGGTGTGCTATAAAATGTGTAGTGTGCGTTGAGTTTTTAGGAATGAACGTAATGACGTAGCATAGTTAGCATGGGCCCTTGGTGCATAGCCTGGCACCTGGGCTCCACTGGCCCATGGGCCCTGGTGCAGTTGCAACGTCTGCACACTCAATAACCACGCCACTGATTGAATGGATCGTTGCGTCACTCTTCGTCTCCGGTTGCTTTATAAATGCGATGTTTTGCGCTCACCCTGCGAGCGACCTCCTCTGCCCACCAGTCGTCAAAGTCTCTCTGCAGCTTGAGTTTCGCCTTCTCTAGCAGGTGCTGCAGGTGCTCAATCTCCGTTTTCAGCACCTTCAGGCGAGTGAACGCCTCCTTATAGCTGTGCAAAAATAAGTACACTCTTACAACCCGATCTGAGAGTCACATCAACTTAAGTCATTGGGCTGGTGGGTTCGAGTACCCTGTTATCTCAGACCATTTATGTAGTTCACAAACTGCAAGAGTAATTGTTGACCTTCATATACATGGCTAGTTGCACTCCCAGCAAATACATTAATACATGCTGATTATATGTTCAAAGCAAATGGACAATTTTATACTTTCAATTGTAAATTAAGTTAATTATATGTTGTAATTATATAAAGTGTAAACGTTTTAACTTTTTTTCAAGAGATTTTCAATAATTTAAATGTACCCATCTAAAGCCGAAAAATATGGTTATCTCACATGAATTACAATATGATCTAGATTTGTACAGCATCTAAATGCAACCGCATCACAAAATCCTGTACAGAAGCAGGAGACATTTATTTTATATAGAGAGCCAGTCAGTCATATGCACAAAACAGAAGGATAAATTAGCAGCACACAAGGTTTGGAAGGATCTTGTAATACTCGAAAAAAACCCGACCTGCTCTTTTCCCCCTCAATACGCGCTCGCATGTCTTCCTCCACTGGGTCTGACTCGTCAACCCCAGGCAAAGCTTTGCTCACTCCTGTGGAAGAATGCGAAGAGCCATTTTCAGAGAGAAAGATGCCCATCTACTCTGGATTCTACAAGCTTAACAAATAAGTCGCATGTGAGCAGAATTGTATTGTGTGTGGCTTCATAATATGAATGCACAGGTGTTTTAGGAAGTAGGCCTAACACTTGTACCTTGAGCTGCCCTCTGCATTCGTCTGTGATCGATTTGAGATTTCAGCTGATCTGAAAAGACATTTTTTAAATCGTCTTAAAATGTAACTGTACTGCAACAAACTGTTTTACCAACACGATACACATAAAGACCCTCAAAATATTATCATCGTAAGAGGCAAACTTAGGAATGTCATCACATCAATGTCCTCAGTAGTTCATCTGCCACAGCAAAACTATGACTGACTTACTTATCTTTGACCTTGCCTGGTTCACGGTCTCCCCTAAAGCCTTGGCTTCTGCATATCTGCGCAATGCACACAGAGAGATACATTTATCACAGATTGAAACACGTTTCCACCAATTATTATTTTACTCTTGTAAGGAGGAAGATGTACCTCTGTTTGAGGATGTACTTGTTGTCTTCTATTGTTATGTTGTCAGCATAGTCTCGCCTAAAAATATCAAATGCCTCCTTTCGTCCAGTTGACTTCTCCCCATACACCACTGGCTCCAAAGAACAAAAAAATATGTTAATGAAGAAACACTTAAATACATTTTACCTTCAAATTCCTTGAAATTACTTCTTTATGAACCTTTTTCAATACAGTATTTTAAATTATGGATAATGTTTATGGTTCCAGCTGGTGAATATTAATACTTTGAATATTACTTCATCACATTAAACATCACTGTAGGACACGGCACACTTTTAGTGCAATGCTGGAATATTGCCTTGCTGAAATGTATCTGCTTCACCAACCTGCTCTGATCAACATCAAATAACCCACACAACTGAATGGCATGGGGAGGCCCTCATACAGAAGTGGATTGAAAATAAGGCTATATAGACATGTGAAATGTGTCTTACGCTGCATTCCATTTGTTGCTGATGTACTGGCAGAATTTGTCCCATTGAAACTGGAGGAAGATGACATGTAGTGGTCTCGTGACTGTGCTGGGACCCATTCCGACTCTTTATCGTAGACAGCCACCGTCTCCCGTTGCCCGTCGGCCTTGGGGCCTCCATCCCGCTCGCCTGTCAGGGCCTGCAGCTGTCGCCCCACATCCTGCACATGCTTGCGCTCCTTCTTCAGCATGCTGACAAGAACGTCTGAGCACAGCGTAGTAGTGAAACACCACAAAACCATTTGGAGGAGCAAGTGTGTCTGCATTAGACTCTGAATAACTGTGGCCAAGTTGTAGTCAAATGTGACTTTATCATGCTTTGTTTACTTCAATACTGTATAGCAATCACAGTCATTGTAACTGTATCAGATACATCTACAGCCCATTTGTCAATCCACTGATGGATGAGCAAACTTCCCCAATCCAGACAGATGGTCTGGGTTGTTTAACTATACTTTACCACACTCGTCAGTGTGGCTGGTGAAGTCAGAGACCTTAAATATTGGAGCATGATAAAGTACAACTAATTTTAATGTACTGCCCTAATGTCACCTATGACAACCTGTTGTCCATGGTGGTCGCCCTTCCAAGCACTATCCAGGATGAATGCTAGTTAGCTTCCAAGATCTGACAATATCAGGTACATTCGAAGTTATTTGGTCATAAGATTTAACTTAACGCTATGCAGTGATTATAACGATATGCAGTAATGGAGTTGCACAGCATTTGAAGGATACTGATTTCATTGTCTCTCTGTTGAACGAGTTCCTTCAGCCTCCGGATATCACTTTCGCTACCCGGATCATCGTTCTTCTTGCTGGGATTTTCCCGTTCCGATCCACCAGAGGACGCCCTTCCCTGCCGAATGTGCCGCTATCCATGACATCCACGCACATAAAGAAAGGCAAGTGATGTTAGGAAGCACCTGTTCAGGTTAGCATCGTAAATGAATCATGTATTGTATATGCTGTAAATCTGCAAAGCCCAGCACATGAGATAACCTATGTCGCACCCACTGTATGTGCTTTCAACATAAAAAGTTCACTCCCTTGAGCCTAATTGCCAAAAAATTACTCCCACATGAAACTCACCAATTAAGTCAAGGCAAATTATAATAATTATAAAACAAATGGTTGTGTACTTTATTGAATTACCACTCTTGAGAACAGATGTAGAAATAACGTCAACTCGAATTACATTAACAGAAAACACAACATATTATTTTCGTTAAAAGCAAATATTAGGAAACTTTAATCCACGTTTGGTATGCTATGCTTTGAATCTCCCAGCAAACTATTATATCTTCTATAATATTCCAGAAAACATTGTCTTCCATATTATTATATCTTAACGACACAAAATTGAGTGATATGCCACTTAAGCAGAGATGAATGCTATTTGTACTGGCGAGCCCTCTTCGGGGCACAACTCAACATTAAATAGTGTAGAAATCGCAATAGGCCTCAAAAAGCTAAACCAAAATATAACTAAATTTATTTTTTATTTTACGAGGTAATTCCCACTGAGCTATATAGCTCTTTGTCAGAAGCGACCTGGCTATCACAAATGATCGCTCAATGAAGTGGATTTTCACGTGGAAATGTATAGCAACCAAATACTTGAATTGCATGTTTTTAAATGTGGAGGGAAAAACCGGAAGACCCGGATAAAAATCCACACGACCACGTGGAGAACGTGCAAACTCCAAAAATACAGGCATCAGGGTTAGAATCGAACCCACGACCTCTGGCATACCAGGCGAGGTAGTCAACGCCTCGCCACTGTGTCCAAGGAAACCCAGTGAGCGCCCTCCCTGCCCTTCAGGCACCTTTAGGAGACTGAAGCAGTGATGGATCTTGCGCATGTCAGCCCCCACTTCCAGGGAGGCGTCTGCATCAGCGTCCTCCACGTAACCCCTCACCATTTCCTCCAGCCTAAGGGTACAGCAGTGCACATTAGTCTGACGGATGGCAGCCCACTTGTCTATGGCATTTAATCAATGTCAAAATTGTTCCATGAGGTTGTTTGGATTTCGCAGCATTTTGGGATAGGTTCTTTTAAGGTGACGGCTAAGATCGTGTGCAAGTTTATTGCGCAAGGGCTAGGATAGGGTTTAAATGTATAGACAAGCCATTACAACTTGAGCCTTGGGCTACACCCATTTTAAACCTTTAAAACAGTCTGCTTCAGCAGCTTTCCTCTTTTCTCCTGCTGATGACGATCGCTTGTCTTGTGATCGAAACGTCGTAGTTTTTTGTTATTTTCTTTCAACCTATCTTCGTGACTTTACCGAAAGACCCAAAGAATACCATTACAACTTATTTATTTTTTAACTGGTGTTTTGAATCAATTTTGTAATTTACATCATGGTAAACTTAAAGCTTAATATTCAACATCTATTGTTTGGAAAGGTGAGCTAAAATAAAATTCGGAATTCATTTGAAAGAGCTCATTATCAAAAGTAAATGTTTAAATAGATGATGGATAACATTTAATCAGATTTGTCTGTTTGGTGAAGGGGAACATTTTTAAATTATTATATACGCTTAATTTGTATAAAGATTGAGGATGTATTCAATCTTACAGCATTTCAAGTGGATTGTTTTAATAGCAGGTATATTATACACATTGGAATAAAATACCAGGTGTATGAAACCATAATTTAAAGCAAATTTTATCATGAGGGCCTTTGTAAGCTACACGCATATATTCTATACGTATGTTTTACCCAAACTTGTATGTTAATTATTTTGTGAGGTAGAAAAAATAAATGTGCATCTTTAATAAATGTTATCTTCTCTTTACAGGGTTTTACATACAAAACGTAAATATTGTTCTGCATTAATAGTATGGTATCCATGGGTGGGTAAACTACTGGCAAAATGCATTATCACACTGCAAAGCCGAAATGCTAAAGACACTACAGGTGAAGCTTGCTAAACGAATTAGTAAGTGTTTCAACATCTCTTTCAGAGTCCGATTGTAATTTACTCTTAGTGGAAGCGTAACGGAGGCACTTGCGCCCCATCATTTTGGAAAAAGGTAGTAAATTGTTAAGTGATCGCTTTGCAATAGTACTTTTGTTATAGGTTTACACCACTTGAGTTATATCAGCATAGAAAATCTAAAGTAAAATTTGCTAAATAAGATGCTACTCATTTTAATTACTTGAACAGTACGAAAACAAAAATAAATTGGAATGTTGATTATAAAAAGACGTCAAGAAAAAATTATAGATTTATCAATGACAGTTCTTACTCAGAAGCCCTATCACAAAACCAAGATGACACAGCTCTCTGATGTGTTTTGTGGTTGTACCGTGTGTGGATCGGCATGATGTCCTAACACATCAGAAAACTATGCAGTACAACCGCGATAACCTACCCAGTAACACTATTACTATTTAATCAACCTGTTATAAAACGGCATAATGCTGGGAACTCAAGAGAACAAACAAAATCTAGGGCCCTCTCATTGACTGTAACCACTATGTGACCCTTAATTCTGCTGCCAACTCCAGTGTTAACATCATGTCTGGTCACATACTGCTGCAGTTCCACAGCATCCAGGTCCTCTGTGCGTGGCTGTCCTGTCACCAGAGCCAACTCATCCCTTAGTTGCTGTATCTCCTTCTTGAGACGCACAATTACCTGCAGGGAAGAAGTTGTAGAGGGCAATGAGTATTGGTTGTATGTAGGTTTGATCAATTATTTATTCTATTCTGTGTAAATATTATCAACGCATTGCTTGTTTCAAATCACAGATGTATGCAATTATAACATTTTCCAATCCTGCTTGCCATGCAATGCGTATAATGTGGATGATGTGAAGGAATTTGAAATATTATGTAAGAATAAAAACACAGCCATATATTTTGAAATGGGATGGAATTGCATTGGATGTGCATCGTGGGTGTTTAATGCGTTATCCTGAAGTGAGCTCTATGTCAGCCTGGACCAGAGGTGCCACTGCATGCCTGAGGTAGACGCTTCCTTCCCATTCACATGCTCACAGCAGGTAAGGGTCTGCAGTTTAGCTTAAGCCCTTCTCACCGGTGGCGCTACCGTTTTGCTAATATTTACATTAATTCCCTAACCATGATTTACTTCCTGGATAATAACACTATGCAGCTGCTTAAGACTGTTATGAAAAATGACTCGTTACACTGCAGTTCATAAACCACATTTCTGTATGACAAAGAAAAAGATAAATTATAAAGTATATTGTCTGGAATTGTGGTTTATTGTGGCTGGTTTTTACTTTAAAACACCAATTTGCTTTATATGGCTTACCTGGGCGTTTTCTCCCCCATATTCTATCTACATCAGCTCAGCCATTTTTCCAGAATATATATATTTCATGCAAACAAAAATGCATGTTCTGAAAGCATGTGATGTCATTGCACACACTATGGCTTCATAAGTCATAAATAATGCAGTGAAGCACGATAACTCTGTGTTGTCTAGACGTATTGTTACGAAGGCCTAACTAGAGAACACAGCTGAACAATCAGAAGGCATTTCAGACATTGTTTTGCATTAATTTATCAATGTCCTCCTAATTTAATAAACCTTACCAGCCTCGGATCGACTTCTTCATTTAGTATAGCTTCATTCTTTATAAGAGCTACTCTCTGAGCAAATCGACAAGTAGAAATGGATTCCTGTACAAGAAAAGAAAATGTCATTACACTTCTCTTGAAACACAGAGTATGTTGTAACGTTTGTGAAAAATGTTATCTCTGCAGCTACGCGTTTTTATTGCATTTACTTGAATTTAAAGTCATTAAGTGACCATTATGGTTTGAAGGTGCAATGTGTTGAGTACAAAGGGGCATACATCAATGTTGCGCTTGTCCACAGCCAGAGTGGCGATCATGGTTGTCATGCAGTTGCCACCCAGGCTATCTCTCAGCACCGATGTCATCATGGAGTTGCGGTAAGGAACGTGCGAGCGGTTTTTCTCCGACAGCGCTATTATCACCTGGCGACATCACTTTCAGTTATTGTCATACTTTCAGATAAGCAAAGAGCTGCTCCCCACACGCAAGGTCACAAAACATCGCTACTGACTTCTTTATTGTGTTTTTTAAACAAAAACAAGTTCAAGGCAATTTTAGTATGAAGTTACATGAAATATATTTATATTGCATAATCAGCAATATATCTGGAATTCTAAAGATAAAACTTTTTTTTTTAATCAAAGTTGCTGAGCACAGACACAGGCCTAAAACACCAAGTGGAACTAACAGCACTGTCGAAGGTGTAATAAAGAGTTAATAGGTTTTTTGAGTTAAAATATTTGCTGTGATGCAGAATGAGCAATACCGGTCACGTGCAGGCGCACCTGCTCTAGGTAGTGCAGGGAAAGGTTGATGTACTTGGCTTCAGTGAGCAGTATGCCACCCACGCCGGTCTTGGAAACACGCTCAGAACCCGCCAGGTCGACGAGGTGTAGCTTGGAGCGGCACAAAGTGGTGGAGCCAGGCTCCCTCCCACACACGTGCAGTGTGAAGATGCAGTGCGAGCGTGTGGACGCCTGGTTCATTGGTGTCTGGCCAACCGAAATATTTCATAATGGCCATTAAACATAGATATCCTCACAAAGGTTCAATTATATAGCAGACAGCTATGAACTATTTTATGGAATAGTTTTTATTTCATGACAACTCCAATTTTTTTTTTACAAAAGACATTCAGCATTTATGATTCATCTGAAATTAACAGCATAGTAATCGTTGGGAATTCGTAGCACCTCGGCAATCATACGATTAGTGTCACCCAAGAACAGCAGGTTGAGGGCTTCCTCCTGACTGCTAGCCTGGTGCAGTGAGAGGTTCTTCAGATGCACAATTTGTTCTGTGTCCTCCATAAGTGTCACTTTTCTGTCCAGACACAGACATACAGAAATAACTACTGTAACGTGTGTTATTTGTAAATAACACATTTTTTAAATAAAGCATTTTATATTGAGAGTATGAAAATGCAGAATTTACTCTGTAATTGTTTTTGTAGTTTATGTGTTGAGTAATGAAGGCAGAAACTATCACACCATCCATTATACTTAAAGAGTCATAACGGCTACCAGAATTGAATTTACACATTTGCAGTCGTTTTGCCACTAATGGCAGGTTTGCACAAATGATTAAGAGGTCTCAGATACATTATTCTGATGAAAGGGATGTATCCTTCTCAGTCACACAGCTGTCATTTCAATTACAGGATTTTAGGGCTTGTCTTGGAAGAATAAAACAATCTACCGTATCTAATTATAGGCACTAAAATGTCCTGTGGGACCCAAGGGACACGTGTATAAGTACTCTCTAAATCGACGAACATTATAGGCCATACTGTGGGCTGATGCAAGCATTACAGCCAAATATGCACTTACGGAAGGTCTTCCAGTTTTGAGGCTTCGTGTCGAGGATTTAACAAATCGTAGCCATTCTCATTGTAGATCTCCAGGTAGGAAATGTGAGCTGTGTACACTCTGTTAGTGTCCTGTTTGGGAAAAAAGGTACTATGAAAAAACACTGTTTTTTTTGTTACTCATAAAATGCACAATAGTTTAATACGGTAGTGTTTGAGAATGTTAATTTAAATTAACACTATGGAAATTGAACACTAATCTATAGCATACATGGAGTTGCTTGAGCTACTTCTTTTCGGCACATAATGTAGAGTGCTGTGTTTATAGCGTCTTGGCAAAAATTCGAATTGATCATGCATTACATACGCACATGTCACAATTAATTTTAGACAACTAAATGTATCTTAAACGGGTGCTGCATGCTGGCCATGGCACACATTGGCCCTACCTTCTGGAATTGCTCAAATAGGTAGCCAAGTATCCTGGGAATGATGCCCCGGTCTGCAAAACGTTCAGCCCCTCCTGTGATGGTGAACGTCTTGCCGCTGCCAGTCTGGCCGTAAGCAAAGATGGTCCCATTGTAGCCTGAAAGCACACTGACAGTGTCCAGAGCTCTAAGTGCCAAAGGACAAACCCCACAGATCCTTACATAGAACGTGGGTGGCAATAAGATTGTTGCAATTTTTTACGTGTTTGAAAGCTTCTCTTTACCAATTTGGCCATAGCAAAATATGGTGTACATCAAAATATGGTGTACATCAAATTAATGGATTATAAATGTGTTTTTCATATGAAACAGCTACAGCAGATAAATGTTGGAGCTTACTTGGCCAGACAAACCTCAAAATTTATCTAAAGATGTACTGAAACAAAAAAAACACATTACAATACAGGATCAACAGACACAGCACAGTGTATCATTGCCCACAAAGTGTGAATGGGAAATATTGGTAAATTTAACGTGAATAAGGTCTTGACTGAAGTTTTAGAACCACTGTTGTACAGAATAAAATGTTAACCGGAATGCATTGGTTAAAATGTTCAAGAATATGCGAGATGTTTACTTAACCCCCATAATCCCAGGGCTTCTGGCACATACCTGTCAGCAACAGGCCTGGCAATTGTTTCAAAGATTTCTTCTTGTTTTGCTTGCTGATCAAAAATTTTCTTGAATCTGAACATAGTTTTCCATTAAAAAAAACGAAAAAAATACATGAGTCAGAGGTACACATGGTGCAATTATTTATTTTTAAATATATATTTGTGTTGTCATGACATTTGGTTATTTATTTGCAGGTAGCGCAGTGGCAGAGTTAGCAGCTAACTGGAAGATGTATAATTCAAATCCTGGTTGGGGGTTGACTCTACCTATCATCCATCCAGGGTTCATAATGAATACCACATTGTGGGAGATTCAACAGTAGTTATCCTATGGATAGATTCACTCCACCAAAACAATGTGGAATTTCTACTCGTGGCTCAGGGCTGTCAATTTCAGTTGAGCACTGCCTCAATGCTCATTTGAGCAAGAAATCACATTAACGTTTTAGACTACTAATATATAACTATGCACGTTATGGGTAAGTTAACTTAAATGATAATTAGTATTACTGAAAATACATCAGAAAACAAATTATAGCAATACTCTTGATTGAAATACTTATACGTTTATGTTCAACAAATACTTGAGTGGCTCTGGGCTTATTCCAATTGTACATGTGCATATCAACGTGAAGTGTGGCGATATAATACCGATGACCAGCTTGGCATGGGAAGGCCCTCATCCAACAGTGGATGGACGTAAAAACTTGACGTGTATCTATGCAGTCATACCATTGTAATGCAGTATGTATTTTTTCAGACTTGGAAACATTTTACAATTACCAACGCAATAACAGCTGTGAATGTTTTGCATGCTGCATTAGGCCCATGGGCCAAATACTGAATATCCCAAGTCTGCTCACATGGTCTGCTATCAGATTTAAGACATGGTGCGTTCGGGCGCGTGTTTGAGCTTACTGAAATTTGTAACTCTCTCTTTTGTTGTTGACAAAGCCTTCGGCCAGGTCCCTAGGCACCACAAACTCCAACAGTGGAGTCCTCCCGTCATCCTCTTCCACTGAGTAAAGCTGTGTCAAACACATCAGACATTACCCATTGTAAAATGATTCTATGTGGATGACTGTATAATAAATGTACTAAGGATAATAATTTACCGACAGGTTATTATCACTACATATCATTTGTATCCCTCCTTATGGAGTTCCTTTAAATATTTGTAATTTAGTGATGTGGCTGTGTGAAGCGAGAATAGTTGACAAACTGTTTGCCATTCTGTTCACTGCATATTTAATAATTAAAATGTACACTGGCAGGGACACTGCCAAAAAAAACACATGTAAAATCCATGTGCGGTGAAAATAACAAAAGCAAGTATTTCTTCTGTGCATCACATTATCAAATCTAAGTAACTTTTTTTCAAGAACACCATTCCCAAAAAATGTTAAAACGGGACACATGGCTAAATGTCATTAAAAAAAACGTATGTGAGTAATGCGAGTTCATTTAAAGGAATGCACATCATCATGCATGAGTTTATTTTTGACATGGAGGTGTGCACTACATATGTGGGGAACATACACATCCTCACAGGAAGCAGGCCTCAAGAAATCCTATCAGCTAAATCGTTGACCTCTGTACCTGTGCCTCCTAGTGTTGCTGAAAAGTGCGATAGAAGCTTGATTCTCTGGTAAGGGGTTCAACTAAAATGTGCAGGTGGAGCTTTCCAAACATTTCAAATGCGAGGGAGCTGTCAGGCGGCAATACTTTCCAAGGCTTTTTGTAAAAGTAGCACCTGGTAAACATGTTAACACGTGTAAGCATGTTTTCTCGATTTCAAATCTCTTTATCGGACAAAAAGTGTACAATTCCATCCATTATCCTGAGTGAATAAAGTGTAGTAAGCCAATAAGTTCAGGGTTCTCATTGGACAACTGGCACATTATGCAATTAAATCACCAATTACTGGGAAACGAATAGCATGAAATCCATATCGCTTGCAATTCACTTAAGTTATACCCCGCACAAATGCGTGGAAAGTGCTTGTTAATAATACAACTCATGTCATCTAGCAAACATTGTTGTCTTTGTTATATCCAACACGGCAGCTGCTCCGCAATTTACGGCACACATATAGCCCTTTAAAACGCAGAGACGCGGCCATAAAGAGCATAAATACAATGTTCCATGTTTGCGGTTGGGATCTGGTATATAGGGTTAGCTAGGGTTGGGGCTGATCATGCTTAAAGGTTAGAGAAAGGGACAGTGTGAGCGAAGCAGTAAGGGTTAGAGGCAGGATTTGAGATGTGGCTGAGAATAGGGCTGGGGTTAAACGAGTGGGTTAGCTCGGGGACCGGAATAGTGTCAGGGTCATGTTTGGGGTCAGGGGTAAGAACGGGAGTAGGGTTACAGCCAGTGATTGTCTGCTGTCAGTGTAGGGTCAGTGCTGTGCTGGTCGTGTTTGTGTTGTGTGGTAAAGTTATTGTTTTGTTAGTGTAGTGTGTGGGCCCCTGTAGTGTGGGATTTGTGTTACGATGTTAGTACTGTGTTAAAGTGTTCGTTTTGTGTTACAGCGTTTGTCTTGTATAGGAGTGTCGGTCTGATGTTGTAGTGTCCTCATGTTATATAGGCTTGTGTTCGTACTGCTATAGTTTTAGAACGATTGGACATCTGCGATAAGAAGCTGTATAGCTCATTCTGAGAACAATATATTGTTAGTACTGCTGGTGTTAGAGCAATTATAATCTGTACTTCGATAGTGTTGTTAGAACTGCACTGTTGTGGTGTTAGTGTAATTGATATACGTGTTCGAGTGATAGTGTAACAAGCTGTTAGCTTTAGTTTTGTAATGGCGTTATAGTGTTTAAGTTGTTATCTTGTGAATAAAGTACGTACTTTTATAGTGTTTGTATTGCTGTAGTATAAGTCATGTTAGTGTTGGGGCTGTTGTTGTGTTGGTACTGTTAAGTATGTGTGTGTGTAATATGTGCACTATGTTAAACGTCGCCAACCGTGTTAGTGCTGATAGAGTTAGTATTGAGTGATCGTACTGTTAGTGTTAGTTGAGTTACAGTGTTAGTACTGGAACAGTGATAGTGTTAGTACTGGTACGGTAATAGTGTTAGTACTGTTAGAGTGTTAGTACTGGTACAGTGTTAGTACGGTGATAGTGTTAGTACTGTCACAGTGTTAGTACTGTTACAGTGTTAGTTAAGTTACAGTGTTAGTACTGTCACAGTGTTAGTACTGTTACAGTGTTAGTTAAGTTACAGTGTTAGTACTGTTACAATTTTAGTACGGTAATAGTGTTAGTACTGTCACAGTGTTAGTACTGTTACAGTGTTAGTTGCGTTAGTGTTAGTACTGTTACAGTGTTAGTCCTGGTACAGTGTTAGTGTTAGTACTGTCACAGTGTTAGTTGAGTTACAGTGTTAGTACTGTTACAGTTTTAGTACTGGTACAGTGATAGTGTTAGTACTAGTACGGTAATTGTGTTAGTACTGTATTAGTACTGTTACAGTGTTAGTACATGTACAGTATTAATACTGTTACAGTGATAGTGTTACTATTGTCAGTGTTAGTACTGTCAGTATTAGTACTATTACAGTGTTAGTACTGGTACAGTGTTAGTACTGGTACAGTGATAGTGTTAGTACAGTATTAGTACTTTTACAGTGTTAGTACTATTACAGTGTTAGTACATGCACAGTGTTAGTACATGTACAGTGTTAGTACTATTACAGTGTTCGTACTGGTACAGTGTTAGTACTGGTACAGTGATAGTGTTAGTACTATTACAGTGTTAGTACTATTACAGTGTTAGTACATGCACAGTGTTAGTACTATTACAGTGTTAGTACTATTACAGTGTTAGTACTATTACAGTGTTAGTACATGCACAGTGTTAGTACATGTACAGTGTTAGTACTATTACAGTGTTCGTACTGGTACAGTGTTAGTACTGGTACAGTGATAGTGTTAGTACTATTACAGTGTTAGTACATGTACAGTGTTAGTACATGCACAGTGTTAGTACTATTACAGTGTTAGTACTATTACAGTGTTAGTACATGCACAGTGTTAGTACTATTACAGTGTTAGTACTATTACAGTGTTAGTACATGTACAGTGTTAGTACATGCACAGTGTTAGTACTATTACAGTGTTAGTACTATTACAGTGTTAGTACATGCACAGTGTTAGTACTATTACAGTGTTAGTACATGTACAGTGTTAGTACATGCACAGTGTTAGTACTATTACAGTGTTAGTACTATTACAGTGTTAGTACTATTACAGTGTTAGTACATGTACAGTGTTAGTACATGTACGGGTGTGTGTCGGTTCTGCGAGAGCTCCCCTCACCCCGGCAGCGTTCTTCCTCGCAGGTTTAAGCCGCGCGTAGATCTGAATGGTCTGCTTCACCATTGTTCAGCCGCCGAGCGACCCGAACGAAAGGAGAACGATAGCAGCAGCAACAACGACGACGACGACGACCGGCACAGACGTCCACCGACACATCAATGCACTTTCACGTCGGCATAAGCCTCCATTGATACTGCCTTGACGACCGCCGCCGCGCCCCCCCCCCCCCCCCCTTAGCAACCCCCCCCCCCCCCACCCTTAGCAACAACCATCAACCACCCGTGGGTTCCCCTTAGCAACGCACGCGCCGCCGCAGCCGCCGTAGTCGTCATCGGAGTTTTAGAAACGCGAGAGCGCTCGGCATCTCCTCCACCCCCCCCCCCCACTGCCAATCACTCACCACAGGGGGCCGTTCATAATGACGTCACGCGATTTTGGACGATTTTTGACCCCCCCCCCTCTCGTCGTCGTCACATGGCGTCACAAAGAGTGAGCCCCCCCCTCCTCCTCCTCCTCCTCAAATATGACGTCACAAAGCTCTGTCCCCACCCCCCAAAAAATATAAAAAATGATTCAAATCGAAATTTTGATTTAAAGATTTCGTGACTGCAGGGATTCTTATTCTTGGTTCTATCGGTAAAGTCACGTAGAAGGGAAATCATAAAATAATAAAAAAATATGTTAAACGTCGCCAACCGTGTTAAAACATATTTTATTATTTTCCTTCTACGTGACTTTACCGAAAGAACCAAGAATATGCTTCCAATCGCTTTAAACTATTGTCATTGTAGTGCGTATTTAATGTGGCGCTGCACTCTGATGTTGTAGGAGAAAACATGTATTACAAAGTCTATTTAATTAAGTAGAACGTGTTGTCTATATTTATTGAAAGTTGCGCATTTTGATGTGACGTCACATTTCTCACCCCCCCCCCACCTCGTCACACATCGTTACAAATGTCTGACCCACCCCCCTAGGTGCGTGACGTCATTTATGGACGGCCCCACATCCCACCAATACATTCATTCAATGACAAGCACGTGGAGCGCGTCTGTGTGATGGAGCGATGGTGGTGGTTGGGTTCTAATGATCCACAATATAGGGTTTTTGGGGGGGTAAATGCAAATGCGTCGTTAAACCCGCCGCTACCACCCGACCCAGCCAATTAGTAAGGTTCGTCACGTCAACAGAACGTGTCAATTCGTTACGAGTACAGCACGCCGGTGTGTTGGAGAGTAAATCCACAACATTTACAATTTGAGTACGACGTTTCGCCGGTAATTACAACAAGCATAATCAGGCGACAGCCAGATTTGTGGAGAAAAAATGATTTTTCTGTGCTGTACTAGTAACGAATTGGCATGTTCTGTTTACGTGACAACCCTTACTAATTGGCTGTGTCGGGTGGTGGCGGGTTTAACGACACATTTATATTTACGGAATCTAATCCAAAAAATACTTCTATTATGGATACTATTAGTCGCGAAATCCTACGTGTTAAACGGTTATAATGACGTTTCTATACAACGTGTTAAATGCCTGATTGGCTAATGTCAATTTGAAGTTAGAGACGTTCTGCAAAGCCGAGTTACTGATGGTAGTTCAGACGCTGTTCTACAAGGGTCGGAGAGTTGAGTGAGCAGAACGGGTTGAAACCTGAGTGAGTATAACTAAAAACTAACCTATAGTTTTTTTTATTTTACCAGGTAAAGTCCACTGAGCTGTATTAGCTTTTTCTCAGAAGCGACCTGGCCCTCAAACGATAGCTCAGCGAAGTGGCTTATCATGCAGAAATTTGTCGCGACCAAATACAGCTAAACGCATGTTTCTAAATGTGGAGGGTAAAAACAGCAGGACCCAGATAAAAATCCATGCGACCATGGGGGAGAAGATATAAACTCCAAACACGCAGGTGTCAGGGTTGGCATCGATCCCACCACCTCCTCCATACCAGGCGTCGGTGTTAACATCTCGCCACGGTGGCGCATACATTCCAATGATGTTCTCGAAAGCCGTGTGACTCATGGAAAGATGAATGATGTTCTGGAAATGCTCATCTACTGGGTGACATGTAGGTTTGAATGTTCTAGAAGGGATATAAAGTTGAGTGACTGGTGCTCAATTTAATAGTGTTCTAGAAGGGCTCGAAAGCTGACTGGTGCAAATCCAATGATGTCCTAGAAGGACAATACATACGTGACTTCTAATATAATAAGTTTGACGTAGCAATCAAATGCTGCACTTTGCATCAGAGGTCGCAAACGGGTTTTGATTCCTTACCCGTACCCGTACCCGGCCGCACCAGGGTCGCAAACGGGTACCCGTACCCGTACCCGGCCGTACCCGTACCCTACCCGTACCCGGCCGGGTACGGGTAGGGTATGGGTATCGGGTACCTGATTGCGACTTCTGGGATGAAGCCATGTTGCAGGCGCGGGTGGGTTGATTCTAGGAACTTGAATTGTGAGAAGAGACAAGACGTTGGGAAATGAGTGACAAACAGTTACTCACCAGTGACTCACGGCCTACCCGTACCCGGCCGCACCAGGGTCGCAAACGGGTACCCGCACCCGTACCCGGCTGGGTACGGGTAGCCGGGTATCGGGTAGGGTACGGGTATCGGGTAGGGTACGGGTATTGGGTAGGGTACGGGTATCGGGTAGGGTACGGGTAGCCGGGTATCGGGTAGGGTACGGGTATCGGGTAGGGTACGGGTATGGGGTAGGGTACGGGTAGCCGGGTATCGGGTAGGGTACGGGTATCGGGTAGGGTACGGGTATCGGGTAGGGTACGGGTAGCCGGGTATCGGGTAGGGTACGGGTATTGGGTAGGGTACGGGTATCGGGTAGGGTACGGGTAGCCGGGTATTGGGTAGGGTACGGGTATCGGGTAGGGTACGGGTAGCCGGGTATCGGGTAGGGTACGGGTATCGGGTAGGGTACGGGTAGCCGGGTATCGGGTAGGGTACGGGTATCGGGTACCCGGTCGCGACCTCTGCAGTTTGCATCATCGCCATGCCACGCGCGGCCACCGCTAGTGGGCGCCGCGTGTACGCCAGACTTGAGAGTCTCGACAAAATAATAATTGAATACTTTTATTATTTATCCAGGCGAGCAACACAAAAACGTGCATTTTTGTTCGGAAAGATTGGTTGTTTTTTTGTGAAGATGTTTTTAGCCAAACGATGAGTGTTTATTCATGTGGAAGGAATCCGGAGCACCCGGAGAAAAAATCCACGCGCACAGGATATACGACAAGCTCCTCGACGCCCACGGTTAATGGCACCGATTATTATAATTCGTCATCAATATTTGGGATATTTGGCATCGCCTTCCAAAAAACCTTATATATCATTATGTAAAAAACTAAAATATTGTTGTACAATTACAGCATAAGATGACGGAAACGGCAATTTATGAATGATGCCCTGACTGGTGAGCATTTTAAATTTCGTTGTACTGGTGACAATGACAATAAACGATCTATATATCTATAAACAGTAACATGGGTTTGTTAATTACAGTGAAAAAAACAATTATCATACATCTTCTTGGTTCTTTACCGAAAGAACCAACAAGATTAATCCCTGCAGTCACGAAAGCTTTAAATCGAAAATTATCATACAGTGAAAGAAGTTGAACATACATAATACAATAATTACAATCCCATGTTAATCCACAGCTGGATGAAGACCCCCCCTCCCACCCCACTCATAGGGAGGAAGCACTTAACCATAATTTAGCAGGCTAGTCTGTGACATTGGTCGTGTCCGGTAATTGAACTCAAGTGGCCAGGTTCATCGCGCAGTAAGCCAACCGTTGTGCCGGAATTCGAGCTTAATTATGCAGGTCACAATTAAACATCCAAATTTATAACAAAACTACGGTCGAGTTTGGCACCGAATTAAGACCTAACAACGTAATTAATCGACATTCACCCACTGGTGGGATTTGCATTGAGTAATCACGGTGGAGATAATTTTTTTTTTGGTGGCCAGTGCGCTAACCACTGCGCCACCGCTCCACGAGCGAGCGAGCGCGTTGGAGGAGTCCCACTCGCTGTGGTGCGCAGAGGCAAGCGCGCTGGGCTGGGCGGAGCGTGTGGGAGGCGGAGGGGATGGGGATGCGGGGCCCCGGGTAACCCGACCCAACCAAGGGCCCTCCTGCTCCCTCTCTCCCCGTTCCGCCCACCTCCCTCCTCGATCTGTCCCGACGAGCGAACCCACCCCCCCTCCTCCTCCCCCAAATCGCCTCCAATTCCTCCCCTCCTCTCTCTCGCAGTAGTGTATAGCCGAGCACATCACAACATCACCATACCATCACCACCGGCAACCCTCAATAGTCGCAGGTGACAGGCATACGTGGGTGCGCACTCCGGCGTTGTTATCGTACACAGCTATTGTTGTGAGTTATATATGCACACGGCAGTATATATATATACGCATCACTGTGGTGTTCGCTGTGCTGCGTGCTCATTGAGAGACTGGGTCTGCCACGGAAAGAAGAGGGAGGAAAAAGAAGGAAATCTGCGCTGCTGATTTTGCTCAATTGAAGGGATCGATTGACTGCACGGCTCGGCAGAGGGAACAAACTGATCCGTCCATCGCGACTGCTCCGGTAAGTCATCTTCATCATGTGGAGCCACCTCATCCAGGATCACTCACACCTATGGTTGTCACTTGTCCTGATTTTTCACGAGTCGTTTCTCTCGTTGAAGGTAGCTGTCCTGAGAAATCTATGAGTCTTACCAGAACAATTAAACATTCAAAGCCCCGATAATGTTTTGACTGTTACATGTAGACATCTCTTCTTTCCATGATACGTCCCGGTTATTTGTTACCCCAAAGTTGGCTCGGATGAAACTGCTCCTGCCGGCGGTTTTGGGATTTTCTACTCCATTGGAACATGATGGAGGAATTGGACTCTTAAGCTAAATTTTCATTTGGCATTAACCCAGCCCGTGCCACCGCTAACAATATCCCGAACTCCTTGTGGAGTTTTAATCCTAGACTGGTCATTATTTTTGTCTTTTGCTTGTTGTAAGTTATAGCCTCTCGCACTTTTTGAAGCATGAAAGTTGGCAAAACTAGCACGTATATTTATTTATACGTACACATTCACGCCGACACACTGCTACACACGCACAAAGACAAAGATCTCCCGTACAGGTTGCTGGGGAAATTGCTGTTAGCACCTCCGAACGCATTTATACGTACACACTCATACACACACACACGCGCAGAAACATACAAAGACGATCGCTATGCATTTAACAAATATACATAAATTCAAGGATCACCTGTTTCAGCCTTGTAGACCGAAAAGGCGAGTGCTGTTAGCGAGCACCTATTATAATAATACGGTATGGGAGCCTTCGATTATAATCACATACTGCCCCATTTAAGGCTGAGTCAACCTAGGAGAGGCTCAGAGCTGGTTCATATACCACTTGCCGTTGCATTCTGTTGCATGAGATGAATGTACGTTTCGGGCAATAGTTTAGTAAAGCCACTGCACCACGACGACTCACTTCCCCACATCAACACGCGGATGCAGCAGCATGCCTGTGACTGCACTTGACAAGTCATCCGCTCTTAGTTGTGCAATTTGCCGGCATGCACGCGGTAACCTAAATTAATAAACTAATATAACGAAACAAAGCTACCCCGGGTATCCTTCGCGGACTGTTGGGGCAAGTGCCTATGAAGGCCGGCACGGCACACGAGGGGGTGGGTCGCCAGCACCACGCCCGGCCGCCTTTGTCTCCCCAGTGGCGATGCTTACTACCACGCACCAGGTACTCAGTTTGAGGCTGAGTCGAATGACCGCTTCAGATAATCGTCACCGGTGTTGGCCGTGATCGGGAATCAAGTAGTGCAGCGCGCTAACCACTACACTACCGCTTCCCACACTAATATATATACACACACACTGGTTTCGTCATCAAGTATGCACAATGATTTGCAGCTCTTTGTCAATCCACCGCTGGATGAAGGCCTCCATCCTCCCCACGCCGTATATTTTTGTTTTACCATACTCCACCAACGCTGGCCAGTGCCGAGGTTGGTGTAGGGAGGCTCCGAGATAACCGGTTTAGATACCACTTACCACTCATGTTCGCCGGGGTACACGGTGCTAACCACCGCGCCACCGCTCCAACTTTTACACATACTTCTCTCGTATTAAAACCCAGGTTCAAAGACAGCTGGCACCGAATTCCATTGTCAAGTAGCCTGATGCGGCAACACTGAGTCCCTGGTCAGTGGGGTGCTTGCACGCTCGTGGGCGATCACTTCTGGCCACGGTCTGCTCTGCTACCGTGTGGCAGGGCTCCTGTTTTTGCAATTGGTTCGGTTGCCACCTGCCCTTGTTTTCCCAGGAACGTCCTCTCATTGAGGTGTCTGTCCTGCAAAAAATATGTAAGTCTTCTCGAGCCATTAAAAGTATCGGTTTATGTTATTTGCCCCATGCTACACAAATAAAGGCAACGAGTATAAATGCATTTATAAAATGATATTCTTCTTTCTAGTATGTCCCGGGTTTGTGTGCCTCATTGGTGGCAACCCTAGCTGCTGGTGTGTGAGGCTGTCTTGTGATGAGGCTCCCGGCTGTGGACGCGTGCTGTGTGACCTCTTGACCCCGCTGGTCCATTTAAACTCTGCTGGGGTCAGCTCTGCCACTTACTAGCCTCGTATGACGGGGAGTGCTGCTTTTCAATTCTGGTGAATATGTCATAAATACAGGACGATCCATTTATAGACACCCCATTGATTTCCAATTCGCACATTGAATTGTAATGACCCTTAGGCGATTGAATATGGTGAAAGCGATGGCCCCATATCTTACAGAAGAGTCTTAAACGATGTCCCCTAATACGTGTCTTGATAATTGTGAAAGACATATAGAGGCTTTAAAATAAAGGTTGGTTTAGTCTGTAATGTCTCCGTGTTATTTTAGTATAGATACATTTCTTGCAAGAGTAGGCCATCTACCTATATAAAGCAGCTCTCTAGAGTTTCCACTAGTGGATGTCTTCTACTAGCAGTGGTGTAAGCAAGTCATTTCAGTGCTCCATATTGACTGTATATACGTATTAACGTATCACCCTGTATATGAGGCTACCTGCAGTGTTGGTAATTCCACGGAAAATTGTGATTGACTTTATAGGCTGCTGCATGGCTGCCTGCCAGTGTGTCATAATTGGTTTCTTTGTTGAGTGAAGGCAAATTGACAGAATGGCTGCGTAGCAATGTTCGTCTTATCGTTGTCACTGGCCAGTCAGTGGGCTGAATAAACTGCGTTCTGTGTGTCTAATTAGCATTGTGACTGGTTGTCCAGTGACATTGGTGGCTGAGCAGATAGCTCCTCTGTGCTTGTTTTCATGCCACTGTGTTGACTATGACTTGCCATAATTATACCCAATCTTACTTCAAATGCTTTATCCCAATTACTGTGTTGATAGCTGTGTGCCACAGACTATAATACCCATTGTACCGATCATTAGCCTATGCTAAAGTTGTTTTATTCCTGAAATTGAAATGCTTGTAGAGTTACTTTTGATGCCAACAACTCCTTGGCTAATATTCATACCTCAAGGCTTGTGTGGAGTGATGAAACGGCCCATTGAGTAGCGCCTAAGACCTACACGGCTGAGTTCTGGGAAACCATGTGATTAAAGGGTAACATTTTGTATATGCATAAAAATAAATAGATCTTCTAAAGTAACCCCTTTCTTCATTTCATGTTGAAACTTGAGCTGTTTGCAGTAAAATTCTTCTTGCTACCCACTCTACCCTCTGCCCCCCCCCCAAACCCTCTCCCCCAGTGCCTCCCCTCCAGACTTCCATCGACAAACTCCCAAGTCCTCCTTACGCCCCCCCCTCCTACCTCACCGCCATCACCCTCTACCCACTCACCCCTACCACCCCATCCCTCAGCCATCCTGAGCAGAGGAATGCTGGTCATGTTGGACAAGCCAACTGAGCTACTAATGACTACCCATGTCAATAAACTACCGGGCTTGCTGAAACCATATCACAGCTGGATAAATATTAGGAGCTTTCGCTGGCAAAGAATATCCCTGAACGGCCTGTGCGTGTTTCCGCCTGGCCTTTCCACATGCCTGCTGCTATTTTGACTCGACCTGGCTTCAGCTAAGGCAGTGAGATGGGAGCCTTCTCACATGTGTACTGGCTGAGCAAATTGAAAAAGGGATCAGGTTACTCCTGCAGCAGTGCTTCTAGTAACATCACAATACCCTCAATCTGTCACGACGGCGGTAGGCTGCGGTCGGTCTGCACACTTTTGGTCCATACACTGCATCGCCTACAAATGTATTTCTGACTGGATACAAAATAAGTCTGCAATTACCGAGTTTATTGCCGAACAACCTTTACCTATGTTCCAATGTTATACATTTTATTATTATGGCTTAATTGAGGTGAAATGCCATACCTTGGTTTTTTTATCAGAAGGAGCGAATGGCGTTCATACTAAACAACCGGCCGACTGTTAGCACACGTACACAGTGAGGTGTTCGCTCAACATTAAAGTTTGTTATTTTCAAGGTCACACCTGGTTTTATTCGTTTGCCTGCTCAACTGAAGCACCTTTAAAGAGAATCGCTCAATACTTATTGGTTGCTTCACGCAGTTGAGAATTGCATTACATACATAAGTCATCGTGTATCGAAGGAGTAAGATATTGAGAGGAGGGTGTGACCTTAGACACCTGAAAACCTCACTTTTCCATTCACTACTGAGTGGCACCCTCATGCACAAGCTGTACTATACAATTCGATTTAAAGCTTTCGTGACTGCAGGGATTCATCTTCTTGGTTCTTTCTACGTGACTTTACCGAAAGAACCAAGAAGATGTACTAGTACGGTAATTAACAACATGGACAAATACAATAAATGTACATGCAACAGTGTTCAGTAGAGCATATGTTGTGTACACATTCACATATAATTATCTTCAGCCACGGTTAGTTCACTGCTGGATGAAGGCCTCCCCAAGCTCACCGCCATGTCTCGTGATCGTGCGATGTCAATAATCCACCGAGCACATTCCATTCAAGCTGATATCATAGCTCCATCTCCTCTGTTGACATCCTCTCGGACCAACATATACAGTATATAAATGTAGCAAATCCTGTACTTGTGCTATACGGGGCTTAGTAAAAAAAAAATTGGGAATATTGCATTTAACAAATATTTTGTCCTCAATACAGTATTTAAAAACAGCACTGCCTCGGTTGCTTTTGATGGTAGTTTTTTTCTGAGAGCGGTGATGAGATTCAAACAAACGTGTATATCATCAAACTTTCACACTGTACTTCGTGTATATTGATGTTGGGTGAGGCCACAGTCCTTAAATTTCCTCTCAGACGTACCCATTTCCTCTGCTGAAATGCACTTGGCAGGGATTGTGTGAGTGAGATTTAGTGGGAGACACACCCCTAACAGTGTTTTTGCAGTCCTTTGGAGGTATAGGAGAGAATTAGACTCAGGTCTGCCCATACAACAGCGACTATACCACTGACTCTGATAAAGTTGGGAGATATTCTTGTGTGGCAATAGTCCTAAAACATTTTGAGTACCGATTATAGCAATAAA